TCCCGATTTTATATCCATGCTTGAAGCACGAACTTTAAACTGCCCGTTCGCCGTTACGGAGTGTGGAAGTTTTCGTGATTGACCGCGGGTGGGATCGCGTGACATTTGCCCGGATTACGGCTGCAGTAATGGCTGGCAAGCTAGGATACTTTCTGGCCTGTCCCACGTCAGCCATCGGATTGATCAGTTATTGATTTCAGCGTGAATTTCTGTCATCATTGTTCTACGTTGGTCATATGGTTCCTGACCGGCTCCTCTCATGTTTTCCTTCGACCTCTGTTGTCTTCCGCGTGTGTGTTGCCTGTCTGTCTTCCTGACTTTGATCGAACTGACTCAAACCATATGCGTGGCGCCTAGTAGGCGGGATGCAGGCCTATAGTTCCGTTAAGTGAGGGCCAAATTAGCAGCAGCAATCTTCTTGTGTTGTCCTTAGTTCTGCCTATTATGCCTGCTTTATCAGAAGTGAAACTGTGTTTCTCTTACCGTATGCGGCCGTATACCATATGTAGTTTACCCTTGCGATTAACTGCGAGGTGGGACTCATGCAACCTCGCGCCAAGGCGCTTGTCCATTTCATTGACATACTGTGCATCAGAGTTGTAGCATGGGATACTGTCGACTACTGTTGCTTGTTCTGTCAATGGTTGCGGGTTTTTCGGCCTCGTGATTTGCTATCCATCGGTTGACCTCGGCCTCAACACCCACAGGTGTCTTCTCCTTTCGACAGCTCATGTTGGGACTTCCTAAGGCACTTGCTTTGGAAGGACTTTGGATAACCGTCGGCTTCAAATAAGATAAATAAATGATCGCTTAGTCTTTCCATTTTTCGTTGCTCCGGTGTGCGTGAGCACATTAGAAGAGGAGTGTGACACAACTGCGTTTGTGACCAACGGAAGGGTTGCTTTTGAAGTGGAGAATGGGCATGGTGCTTGTTGTTTTACGGCAGGCCGTAGTGCTTGTCTTTCCGTCTGTCAACTTGTTGACGAAGGATAACCGCATGTTGACCTCTTCTTTGAAGAAAGTATCTTCGAAGTAGGTGGCCCAGAAATTCGGAGGGGCCGAGCGAAAGATCAGCCGCTCGAGCATTTACAAAACAACTTCGGCAGTCAGCTTAGATAAAGACAAACCTATAAACGCACCTATGTTTCGTTCGTAAACCCGGCCACTGAACGCGAAGGAAGTTTTAATACACAGTTACAGGCACTCAGTGGTGCGCATTCGCTTCAGCTCATGGTCGTTTTCATCGGATGGCTTAAGGAACTGACAATTATAGTACGCATGTGGGTGAACGCTACGAACTCGAAATACCGTGTAATCTGTGCATGTATCACCCTTTCTGCGCATGTCTCACACTGTTCTTCTAGTACCTATGATTAACGATTCCCGAGGGAATCCGAAACGTCAGGACAATAAACCTCTTGTTGCAGTGATCGCTTTTTCTTCTTCCGAACTGCTTCCTGAAACTCGGATATTCTCCTCTATTGGCAATTTGTTTGGGCGCGAGGCGCTCCGA